TACTAACTTCTGATAACATTTGTATAACCTAAATGTGAGATACACAGCAACCTGTACATCCTCAGCATTGGTGACTCTCAGAGCTCCAGGTTTGGAAGCAACACATAGCACTGCCAAAAGATGCATTGGGTAGTTACTGAGTCTTTCCCAAGCACTCTGCTTGTTAGGTTAGGATTAACTAAAAAAACCTGAAGACATTGTGACTACTGTAGAAGACTCTGGTAAAGGCCTATGGTTATCAACGGAAAGGTGTAACATCAGCCTGGCAGTTTACAAATGCAGCATTGAGTTGTACATGTAAATGAGATCACATACAGTTAAGCAAATAGGATCACTATTCACAATAAATACCACTTTAATCCACAGATTAACTCAAGATTAGATGGTAACAGACAAAAAAATCCCACCAAAAAAGCCTCACAAAACCTAAACTTTTTTCCCCCCAGCTGACCTTTTACACTATAAACTGGCTTTATGTGGCCACAGCTCAGAGGAATTTCAATTGCAGCCTTGGCATTGCAGAGAGCAAAGTGTAAAGGTTCTGAATGGTATGGTTGTTCAGAAGAGCCTCCCCCTTCCCTTCACAGACATCAACTTAATTACTTGTAAGGAACCCAGTCGTTATGCAAATGAACTCAGTTCTGCCGTTGGGTACTGCAGCAATGAAGATTCTCACACACCAGCCACATGAGCCCTGGAAATAGCAACAGAGCACATGCTCTGTGCAGTCTACTCCAACAACTTTCCTCTTACTATTTGTTTCAAAAAGTCTTTCAATAAGTGTATGGCTCCTGACAGCAGAATTTACAAAGGAGTAAAGCAACATCATGAGAACCAGATCTGTAGCTGAGCTAAGTAACATTAGTGATAACACTCCTCTGCAGACTATAAGATGATTTGCTGGACAAATTAACTAGTCTAGTAATATATTTACTTCATATTGACTACTCTGAGATTGGCACTGTACATCTAAACACAAATACCTCTACTGTGTGCATTTATGTCTTATATTTAAGATTTAATAATTATAATTTTCCCTCAATTCCAGTTATTTTAATGCAGAATAATTTCTGATGTTTAATAAACCTCATTCTTCCACTTCTAAATTAGTGTATCATATCTATTTTCAATTTTGAAGCCATGCAATGTCATACCTACTTAAACTTTAACCGTCCTTGGCAGGAAGGGACTACATTTATTTTCCAAGGGTGAAAAACTATGCAACTTCAGTTTTGTTTGGACAGAGAAAGTAGATAAGTTTAATATATTGAGCTATTTTGGCCAGTTAATTGTTAGTACTACAAAAAGTTTGTCTGTAATACAATAAAGAAGTTCCAAACACATGACAGATTTTTCTTTTTTTTAATTTATCATAGAATCAGTTGAGTTGGAAAAGACCTCCAAGATCATCAAGTCTAACCTTACTGCGGTCACTAGACCATGGCACTAAGTGCCACATCCAGTCTCGTCTTGAAAACCTCCAGGGATGGTGAATCCACCACCTCCCTGGGCAGCACATTCCAATGCCTGATCACTCACTCCATAAAAAAATCTCTTCCTAATACTTAACCTAAACCTCCCCTGTTAGAGCTTGAGTCTGTGCCTTCTTGTCCTAAATTGTTTACTTTCTTTGGGGTTTTATGAGTTTAAAAGTTTTGGAGTGTGGATTTTCAACTTTGTATATACAAGACTGTAAAACAACTTAGAGAAAAGGCTAAATCTGATTATCCCTTCTAGTTTCATAATTCCTTACAAACTTAGCCAAAATCAGGACGACAAAATATGCCCAAAAATTGAAGGATTTAAAAGTCACTGTAATGAGCAAAATTTGAATGCAAGCTTAGCTATAGAATCTTGTTTAGCTTATTTTTTAGGGAATTCTGAGAATGGACATGCTTAAAACGTATTTGTATGTATAACACTGACAGGAACTGAGGCAATCCAAAGATGAGCACTAACAAAAAAAAATACAAGACACTCATAACATGAGGACAGAAAACATAGTCTGTGCCCTCCATGTAATTCAATCAAACATTGCATATTTCTCTGAATAATGAGTAACCATAGATGGCTGAGTTCTGAATATTGTGGAATAAGCAAATAAATACAGCAGGTAAATAAGGTCAGCACTGGAGAAAATACTTCGTTCATTTGCTCTACTGATACGAAATCTTAGTTCTAGTTATCCTGAAGAATCACAAGATGCTTTTGTTAAAATTATGAAGTCATAGCAATAAAAGATGCCACCTGAGAAACTCTTGTTTATTCTGAAACATCATCTGGGAAGTGGGTAGATACATTTTGATTTAACACGTTAGGTGTTCAGATTATTGAAAATATTAACAGAAAATAAAATCATAATTTTAACCAGGGAGTGTATGCATCTCTCACAATGTCCAGCTTTAATTTGGGGGTTTTGTTTGTTTGGGTTTTTTATTTTGACATAAACCACTATTATTTACTGAAGAAACAACTACTGCCCATGAAGGCAAAGGTGACTGACACGCTAAGACAAAGAGGTTCAGAAGTAAAGACAAAAGCATGTGCTAATATTCCAGGAAATTATGTCAAGGCAGATTTCTCCCTTCAAAGACCGTCTCAATTTATGGTTCATTACAAGGGGAACTATTGCTGTCCTGAACACAAAACAGAGCTCTAAACATACAGGCTCAGAATAAGGCTCTATCTTCATTATAAAGCTAATTGGCCCTCAAGATATTTTAGTACCCCCAAATTTTGTGGCACACTTAGAATTGTGAGACGACTTAGTATTAAAAGCAACACTCCATTTCTATGACTGTCTTAACACACACTGTGCCCTGTGAGAAACAAATGTGACTATACATCCACTGATTAAACATTTATAGTAAGAAAAAATATGTCATCACAAAACCAAACTGTATTTTGCAAAGGTATAATTTGCTGTTAGTCTAACTAGGAATCAGAATTAAGGAGACATGAGGGAGTTAACTCTCCTGTTATTCTAGCTGAATAACCAACACTTACATAGTTCTTTAAAAAATAAGGAGAGACAGAAGCTAAACTATTAGTTAGCTGAAACAAGGATGAAGGTGCAACTCTCAGGCTCTTAAGGGAAGAAACATTGCGGGGGGGTGTGGTGGTAAAAATTTAAATCTTCCTTTCTTTCACCTCTGCCTCCTCATTAGTATGAGTTTGAGGCTCTTTCCTCCAGCAGCAGGAGCCAAGCTCCTGAGCAAGTGGCACACTTTGTTCTATGTTCTTTCAGGATATGGAATTCCTTTCCTTGGTATCCTCTAAAAAAAGAGTTAAAAAAAAAAATCTCAGCCTGACTCTCTTTGGCTGTATAAGAAAATTTCCAGTTGAACTTGAACTCATATCACTAAGTGCTATAGGGTTACAAGGTATCTAATCACGTGTAAATGATCAAATTATTGGAAGATAATGAATAGTCTGATCAAACAAAGTTTATGTGCACTTACTCCCAGAATTCCATCACTGGAGAAGTGGCATTTTGTAAAGAGACTTGACTGCAGTTGCTCATATTAAGTTTTTGAAATTCCACACAGTTTTCTATAAAAGAACAAAAAAAGAGTTTGCTATATTGACATGCAAGTACATTTCCTCTTGTTCATCCTCTAGTTCATGCACCTTGTGTAGTCTCTGTTCTGCAACATAGTGTCTGTATGCAGCTAAAGGATTTCTGGGGACACTAAATGCCACAACTGCTACTTCTGCAACACTGTTTTGCTCACAGGATTATCCCAGAAACATACCCATGAGGACTGTCCTATAACACTTCCCGAAGGCACAGTTACAATGGCAAGGGCCAATAAATCACCTCAGGCAGAAGAAACACACATTGGGAAACTGAGGCAATTGATTGAGAGTTACAACATACTCCTTACTGCAACTGCTGGTTCAATGGCTTATGGTAACAAATGCCTTATAGTAACAGATGGTTTATGGAACACAGCCAGCAAAAAGCTTCCACTTTGCCCTAATATGGCAAGTGAATAGTTCCTTTGGCTTATTATTATCATCATCTCTAAGACAGAGAAAGGAGGCCAAAACAGCTCAACATTGTTGAGCTGACACATGGTATTTCAAGAGCGACCAACATTGGCTAAGCTCCCTTGCAGGGCTGCAAAAACTGATACTGAAGCTTTCCATATCCATTGGGCCCAAGACTAGTTCCCTAACATAAACTGTAAGATTTCAGGCAGCTTTAGGTGTGCTCAAAGAACATGATAATGACCAATTAACAAAAAAACTTCAAAGACAGTACAACTGGTACGTGATTTGAAACTGGGCAATAACATAAGGGATAAATGCAAACACTTCAGGGATGTGGAAATAAGGGCACTGGTATGTAATCCTCCCCATAGGTGTTTGTGATCTACAAATTGCAGATAAAAATATCAATGAGAGGACAGATGCAGAGCCCCATGCTCAAACCCTTACAAATACACATCTCATCATTCATGTAAGAGGCTCCTTTGCATGCAGTAAGGAGTATTTATGTGACTAAATTTTCAGAAGTAGCTTGATGAACATTATCCCTCAACATCTGGCATTGAAAAGAGCAAACCCGAAGATCCACATTTAATATTTTCCTCTCCATTCAAATTCCTCTTGATTCCACTAGAGCGACAGAGCAAGACTGCAACCTGTCATCAGGTCATTCTCTTCAGGAGAATTCACTCACTGTGTTCAGGGAGAATAGATATGATTGCAAATGAGAGTCTTGGGATTTAGCCAGAATATCTTATAGAATTAACAAAATTCAAAGTCTTCTTCTGCTATCTGGCATTATATTCTACTGAAACAAATGCTTATACAATGTCCTAAACAAAAAAGTTATGAGTAAGTCTTCGCTCTTCTGCCATCATGTTGTGGTGTTATGTGACTGGCCATTCCCACAGACTTCTCTACAAGAATAGTTTTTTTCATAACATTTAAATATATTAATCAATTACTTATAAGGATTTGTATAGTGATAATCTCTACTGAGGTCATACCTGTATTCCATTCATGCCCACAGGTAGCCCAGGGAAGCTCTGTAGTAAAGCAGTTAAACAGATAGAAGATAGCCCATGCTAAAATGATGATGTAATATACATTTAGGTGTGCCTCTATAACTTGGGTAGCATAGCCAATGCCTAGAGGGAGAAAAAAAAAAAAAGCAAGAGAGAAGAGGAAAATGTCTACTTTTCAGGTAATTTAAAACCAAATGCTTACTACTTAAAATATATCTTAACCTCCATTTTGATACAATTGATTTAATTTTGCTTCAAATTCAGCGCATTCCTTTGCAGTAGAACACAGAACTGTGTGTTACCTTCAAATAGAGGGCAAACTTTCCTCCAGCAGGTGATGCCTCCTTCACTAGTAAACTGTCCCAAGGCTGTCTCCAAGAAAAATACAGGTATTCCACAGCAAATAAAAAAGACCACGTACGGGATGAGGAAAGCACCTACAAGTAAATATTGAGGGGGCATTGGTTATAGAGAATACAGTTCCTTGACTGCATAGTGAGAATTTTCTCAGCAAAGGAAGGATCACCTGTTACCTATCTCTCTGGCTGACAGTGCAGCAAGTGTTTACTCCTGGCCCCAAATATCAAAAGTTAACCTGTAAGCCAATGCCATGGACTACAAAGAGCCAGGCCAAAGTTCCTCAGCATAAAGTTTGCTCATGTGTCTCAAACACAGAAAAGATGACACTCCTGCTCAGCCACACAGTTCTGCTCTGATCATCACCATGTCAGTCTACATATCTTCCTTGCTTCTTTCAGGAAAGGAAGGATGAAGTGTTATGAAAATTAAATCCAATAAATCCTTTGTATGTTTATATTTACATAAGTCTAATGAAAAGGATCATGAAAAGGAATGATGAAACTAACTTCAGAACTACTTACAAGAACAGGAAAGCAGCATTTGGCCTTATCAGCTAGAAACATTAATGTGAAATTCTAGGAAAATAACAAAGCATCAACATATTTGTTAGGTGCTGAAAGTAAACTCCAGCATAGATAATGAACCACACCAAAACCCAGACACTGATACCCACAACCTGCAACAACAGCTATGCTTCAGTCACCTTGATTAGAAAGCTGAGACAACTATATACAGCTGCTTTGAGTTGCAGTTACTTTCTTCAGAGCCAGCACAGCAAGAGAGGTCTCTTCACAAGCAGTCTCTTCCCCAAGACAGGAAATTTTCCTAAAGCTGAATCTCTGCTGCCTTTCAAACTTCCCATGTGGATTTCACACAGAATGGAATCCTTGCAGCTAAAACTTGGCTTCTCTGGATAATCTCCTGTGCAAATGGTTTGAATCTGAATAGGCCAGGTAAACTGGTGGCCAGTATCAAATCCAGCTTGGCCCACTCATATGCACAATCTTAGCAAGTTTAACATGGCAACTTGTTAAAATTCAAAGTATTAGCTTTGACTATTTTTCAACACGGTTCTATCACAGGTATGCATCATGAAAGCTAAAGAACAGCAAGTTTCCTAGGCTGCAAAAAGATGATACTCCAAAAAGTATCTAATTTTAAACATGCAAAGAAATTATTTTCCCTAAAACCCCAAACTGAATACCCACAAGAGCAACCTAAAGCTATAGAAGCTTATACCTACACTACCTGTTATGACTCAGAGGAAGTGCCAGAGAGAGGTCAGACCTCACAACTTCCCTGCTGCTGCTTCTAGGTTCTGTCTGTATCTAGCAAGTTATTTCACAACTAGCTCATCTATTTTACTATTGTCTTCACTTACCACACACTAAGCAGTTTGATGCATCAGATGTAAATACTGAAGACAAACTCTGGTCTAATTGCAGCAGGGCATTCCAGAGAGTTACAAAGCCACAGGTCATAGACCAGGTCTTCATTGAATAAAACTGGTCAATGGCACCAGAGCATAACCAATTAAAATCACACCCACTAGTTCTATTCTTAAACAATAGAGAGATAATTAAATATGATTTTTAAGTGATTACTTGTTCATCAAATCACTCAAAACCTTGATTAGAATTCTTTCTACCTAATGTTATAGCCTTAAACACGATCACATTTTGACAAGCTGCATATGCATAAAAATGGGCATGTAGAGGTGATTGTATGAACAAGAAAATTACATGCCAAAAATATATTTCTACCTTTTCCTCTGCCAAATGTTCTCTGGGAAGACTTTGACAATCAACAAGAAAATGTTCTGTATATCATATCCAGCATACTAATATTTATGTACTGACAGCACTATGTGGGAGCATCTGTAAACAGGTGAACTCTTTGTTATCTTGATTTTGCCAAGATACAGATATATAAAGAAAGGAACTACAAACAGTAAAACACATCTTCCACAGTAGTAGTAGTTTTACAGAAAGAGCAGACAAAAAGGGCCAAAACCATGGAAAAAAATCTGGCACAGCATTGTTAGCAAACAAATCCAGCAAAGAACAGATCTTTGCCTATCAGCCACTGAACGTACTATTTTGCTTCCAGCCTATGTGGTTACACTAACACTGATTCAGGCCTTAAGTGGAGGGAATGTTGGACCCAGTCCACAGAATTCTAAACTAAGTTATTAACTTACTTTTCCTTCTTCATTGCTTCACAAATCACAGCTGATGTGCTTATTCTCAACTGTCACATATCTTACACAGTTTATACTTTACTATAACCAATACATGTCACGTGTTATACTTCTGCAGAATCCTGTTCTTTTCTATCCAAAATAACATTCATATTTTAAATTTATTAGGGATTGCTCTCTTCTTTGCGCATCCAGCAGTTTTTACATCATCCCTGCCTTGCTGTAGGAATTGGGGGAATACAGACGACAAGAAAGTATGTTGAGTTACAAAACTTTTTCATGACAAAGAAAAAGAATTTAATCTTTGTAGCATTATCAAAAACAATATGCATCCTCTCCAAAGTACACTGTTGTGCAAAATAAGCTGTTACATTCTACTCTGCATCACACAAACATATTTAAGTATGTTGGGGCTGCATTCACAAGCAGAAGAAAACACAAGAGTGTACCACTGTAAAGAACATTGGCTGCTTCTGCATTGAAAAGCTTACTGAGAAAAATATGTCCATTTGACAACACAAAAGAAACTTGTAAAAGTAAATGACAGTGTTTGGAAAGGACAGAGAAACACAATGATTTCTTAATTAGTTGTCAGATGCTTAATACTTCCTTATCTGCATATACACTGAAATCCTTAACACATATCTCTGACTAGTGCAATAAATCACTGCAAAGCATTCTTAACTGTTTATTTCCCATTTTTATTGTGAGCTGTAAATCAATATATGATGCCATCTTACCTCCTCCATTCTTGTAGCAAAGATATGGGAATCTCCATACATTTCCCAACCCAATAATCTCCCCTGCCACAGAAAGCACAAATTCAACCTTATTGTTCCAGTGACCTCTTTCATGAACTTTCTTATCATTGCTGTGGACGAGGTTGGTACTTGAGGCTTCTGGGTCCAAAGCGTCTTCTGGCTTGCCATTAATTATAGGAATAGTCTTTTCAGCTGTCATGACTGTTCAGTCTAGGGGAGAACAAAAGAAAGACATACACGTTTCAAGTCACTTGTTAATAGTAATCTTCAATGGCTCAAGTCGCTGTCATTGGCTTCTTACGAATGTAATTACCTACGTAAATTTGCAGGTGAAAGTGAAGGAGGCAACTCCACAAGGCTGGAGAAGTTGTAAAGCGGAAAAAAAAGATGAAGAAAAAAAAAGA